AAGATTTAAAACAGCTGCAAAAAATATTGAAGGTTGAGACGTAAACCTTTTCTAATCAGTATTATCATTGTTCGTCGTTATTTTAACTTTTAAATTCTGGGTCCTTCTTTGAAAGATATCTATTTTATTCATGTTCTATTAGGATAGTTTAGCAGAGGGACACAAATTATGGTACGACTTAACTAAGACATGCGGTCAGCTGTTTGGTTTTTGCCCCGTCAACAAGTCCCTGCAAAATGGTGGTCTGCACGTCCCACGCCCTCTGCTGGCTAAAAAGAGTTCCGGCCATATTTATGTGGGGAACAAAAATCAAACCAAAACATTTCTCAGAAACAACACAAATCTTTAAAAAAAATAACGTATATTGTTCACCAGAAAGTCTAAACTATATATCTCTGTCAAAAATGAACCAAGCTTATCTTAACTTTGATTGGCAGAAAAAAAAGTTTTTTTTTCTTGCGGGTAGCAGCTCCACCCTATGAGTCCTGTGTCACGAATGCACTCTATGTCAGTGGAGTGTCAAAGATCGGCTCAGCGGACAGATGATTCACTACAGACTGAAAATCAACAAGTCTGGACCTCAACTTATAAATCCCCTTTTTACCCCAGTTGTATGTCAGACGATCTCTTTAAAGTCTTTACAATCTAGACAACAAAATAAATAAAAAACAAACAAAAACCCCCCACATACATTTAAAGCTATAAATAGTCGTTTCACTATTGTGAAATACTGACACATGGATTTAGTGGTTGGAAAGTATAGTGCAGTGGTTTTATCAAATGATCAGGTCAGGACTCGTCATCCTGACAACAGTCAGTGACTCATTCTCTCCACCTGTAAAAGAAAATATCTTTGATGGATGGAAACCAAGAAGAAAGAGCTTCTCTGTGAGGGACTGGAATTGAACCAATCTTTTGTGATAATGAGAACAGTTGTACCACTGTGAAATGGTTAGATTAATAATCAAGTAATAATTAAATTAATCATTAAACAAATGATAAAGTCAATAAAGTTATTACAGAGGGAAAATAAATAATGGGCGTAGAGCACCGACCTTCACCTCTTTCTTCACAAAGCCTGTTTAGACTTGAGGGTAGAGATGTTTATTTTTCTGCTTTATTAACAATCTTAGCAACATGTGGTGACGTTACATGTGGGTGTAAATACCTCCCTTCAGCAACACTCCTTGTTGGACAACATAAGAGTTAACACAGCAGCTTCTGTGTAGAAGACGGCTTTTACGAACAACAACAAAATTAAATCAACAAATGTTACATGTTATACTTTTAGGACAGTGATGTACAATACATCATACATCAAACATCATACAACAAAAATGAAAATGGTGAACGTCTGGAAAAGCCTATTTGTCAGAATAAGATAAGATAACGAGGAGGACTGCTACGAGGGGTACGAAAGGGGAAAAAGAGGGAAAACATTGAAAAAAAGTAAATTTTCTGTGTTTTCTAATTTATCATGAATCCATATACTAGTTTAATTTGTGTTGTTTATATCACGGAGTTAATTGCATGTAAATTAAAAGTTAAATATATGGAATTTGCACCTGAATCCTACTACCTGGTGGATGGATGTGATTGAAGATCTAAAATGTTATTAAGAAACTTCTCATATGTTCTCTATTTATTTATGTTTTTATGTATTAATTTATTAATTATTAAATAATTTGTTTTAATTTGTATTTATCTGTAGACAAAAATCGACAAATTATTTTACATTAATAAGTAAATATACGTGGCGCTTTGGCCCAGAGGCAATGTCTCTGTCATTTATGTCATTAAATTTACGTCATTTCATCTCCCTGGTTTGCGCATGCGTAGCAAGAGCTTTTAAATTATACCGGAAATCGGCGCGCTTGTTTTTCAAACAAACATTTGGTCGTCGTTGAGTGTGTGGGGATGTCTCGATGGGAAAGATAACGCGACAGAAACAAACTTTTAACGTTTTAACTACATAATAAAGCAGTTTTGTGTAATGTTCAGTCATTTTATGGACACTAGTGCGTTAGTTTTTTCTCGATAAACTGTTTTGGCGTCAAGTTAGCCTGCTAGCATGTTTAGTGCTGCGGCCTAGTGTTTTCATCTCTGTGGACACTCAATGCACAGCGGATGGCTCTTCCGCAAAAGACAAATGTTGACAAACCGAAAGGTAATAATTAAACTTTGAAGATTATTTTCTGTTATTACACGTTATTTCATTTGTTCAATTGAACAGTCTGAATTTCGTTCGGGTTAAATGTAATTTCTTATGAGTTGACTGTACTGATACCACAACATTGTTGCTTTTTTGGTAATGTTGTCAATTATCTATCTATCTTTTATTTCTTTCTGCACACATCTACAAATTCTTTCTGCATTAACGACAATGTAGACTGCGGTACCTTTAAAAATGTATGTGGTGTCCAGTCCATTTATTGACACAAGTACGTTAGTTTTTTTTCTTGATAAACTTTTGTTGTCTTACCGACAAGGTGAGGATCTCCTCCTCTGTCTATCACCCTGAGGTATCCTACTTTTTACCCTATTATGGGTTTTTCTTTGGAGACCCTCGCATCTCCCAAGAAAAACCATAAGGGGAGGGGATGTTTTCCACTTTTTTTTCTTTCCTCTTTTTATATGTAATGGATTTGAACCACTGTAAAGCACATCGAGTTTGCCTTTTGCATGAAATGTGCTCTATAAATAAAGTGGAATAGAATTTAATAGTATTCAAAGAGGAAGTCAAAGTTCTAAGACAGAATGAAAAAACTTTATTTATAGATACTCTGCACTTTTTGCACCAGGTCTCAACCTGCTTCTTTGCTTTGTAAGAACTTTAAAACCCTACAAATGTTCTTATAATTTTAGAAGATGATGCACCACTTGGAATTGAAGAGCAGTTAAAATGATGTCATTGCTGTGATGGTTCTTTTTAATGAGTATTAAAGGAGTAAAAACTTGATCAAATAAATCACAACAGGTCTATCACTTGTTGTAGTTCAACATAAAACACCATTCTGTTTTAGAACATTTGTCTTGGCTCAGCACATGAGATGTCTTTTTTGTTGGACATTTATAATGAAGATGGACAGAAAAGTGTCTTAAACACAGCAGATATCTGCTGAAGACTAAAACACATCCTGTTTTTACCTTCTTTGTCCACAGACACCGGTGGCCTCTGCATCTTGTCCAGGTCTTCACAACCAGATGCAGAGATTGTCCCAGGAATGACCACGTGACCTTTTTGGGAATATAGCCAGTGCTCATGGACAGTAAGGTACAGTTCTCAAACCTGTGTGTGTTAGGATTTTGGTTTGGGATTGGGAAAGAGAAGTTGGAATAAGGGTTAAGGTTTGGAAATGGATGGATTAGTTGGGATTGGGATTAGGAATAAAGCAGTTGGTATGATCAAAACTAACATACTATAGTAATAAATTTAAAAAAAAATCTTCACAAAATAAAACGTTCTTAAAAGTTTATAAAAATACACAAATTTTCATGGAAATGCCTAGTTATTTCCTTTTCCAAGGTTAAATTTCAGAAAATGTATACTTGTATACTTTTTTGGTACGCCAACTTTTGATCACAATAAAATACTATTCTAATAAGATCCTGACAATGCCACCAATGACTATTGTGAGGTTCTGCTCATTCTACTGAAATCTCTCTATGTGTCAGTCAGATCCCTTGTGTTCTTTTAATGGAGCAAATAGGAGAAGATTCTAGACTTAACTGGTGTTTATTACAGAATCAGCAAAATAGACAGTTCCAGAGCTCTGGGTCAGATCTACGTGTCCCTGACAAACAGCATAGGATGTCAGTTGACCAAGTCAACAAGGGGAAAAAATATTTAAAGATTTTTTTCTTTAAAAAAATGGAATGCGTTTCTGAAGTAGATGTCCATTTTCAGAAAAGTTTTAAATCAAATGAAAATGTCTATATTATGTTTTGGAATAGTTTTATTCATCCAGCCAAATAGTAACAAGTTTGACGTAATTAATATACTAATGAGGATTTATTTTTTAGTTTTTATACAACACATTACTAATACGTCAGAGCCAGGTTCACCACCAGGAACAACATCCTTTCTTTTTATTTATTTTTTTTATATGATTTTCAGGGTATGGAGCAGGCGTGGGAAAACTTTTTGATTCGCGGGCCACAATTGTCCTAAAATTGAACAGGGGTGTCAGTGTCAGGAGCAGCTGGATGGAGGGTTTGTACGAACTAAGATAAATTACATGTAAAAGTCATGCATAAAGGCTAAAATGCTTTTATCATTTTTTTTCTATTCTATTTCTATTGGGGAAACTTGGGTATTGCAGGGAAAAGTCTGAATATACATATATACAGAAAGTCTCACAGTTGGCACTTTGATTTTTCTTTTTGAAACTGAATTTTTAATTATTTCTAAACTTCCTCGTCTCTCAACTTGGTGGCGTGTGAACAGAGTTTCAAGCGTTTTCCACTTTACAAACCTAAATGTGTATGAACTGCGTGTGTTCTTTATTTTAACTGACAGGTGAATGTGTTTTAGGTATACCAACTTTTGATCAAAATAAAATACTATACTAATAAGATCCTGAAAAGGTCTTCAGTCATAAAAGTTTCTTAAAAATGAATGAAAGTGCACTCATTTGCCTTAAATTACTTAGCTCTGTCAGTTGTTGTGGTTAAAATTCAGATAAAATACATATTTTTGCTACGCCAAACTTTTGATCACAGTAAAATACTA